CCTCATTGTATCAGGGCATGGGACAAGGTGGGAAGGGAAGCGTGGGGGTCAGGCGGTCTACCTGGGATGGGGCAGGTCACAGGACACTCCATTTCCAGTGTCCCCATTGTCCACAGCGAAGGCAGGCCTTGGTAGGAGGCTTTGGATTTGGACAATTCTTAGCCCAACATCCCATGTGATGGGCAGGGCCAGTGTGCTGACCTGCCTACTTGCTGCTGATTGGGAAGGCCCAGGTCAAGCAGTTCTGGGTGTGGCAGACTGGGCCTGATGGCAGGCACCAGCCAGAGGCTGAAAGTCAGCTCGGAGCTTGCTCCTTTCTGTCTGTTCCCATTCTCTTTTAGCTACTTCTCCCCTGCTACTAAAAACCTTAAAAGCCGTTGGGCACCGATGGCTTCTGCCTGTAATCCTAGCTACTCAGGAAGCTGAGATCTGAGAATCACTGCTCAAAGCCAGCCCAGGCAGGAAAGTCCATGAGACTCTTATCTCCAATAAACCACCAGAAAGCCGGAAGTGGCGCTGTACCTCAACTGGTAGAGCGCTGGCCTTGAGCTGAAGAGCTCAGGGACAGGGCCCAGGCCCAGAGTTCAAGCCCCACAACCAGAAAAACAAAACTCAACAACCTTAAAAGCCAAGGCTAGGAGCTTACTCTGGGAGATGGAAGGCCCCTTTTCCAGGTGCTGAAACTTGCTCCCTATGTCAGGCATGCCCTGGCTTGTACAGTGAACATGAAGTAGAGTGCCCTCTGTGGAGTCAACATTGACATCAGTATTCTAAGTTGTGGCCTCTGAGAGGCGCTAAGGAGGAAAGTGGGGTTTTCATGAGGGCCTTAGGTGACTTCCTTAAGTTTTTCATAGTTGACTTGCAAGTGGGTGATTTGATGAAAGCCCTTTACCAGGCAGCTAACCATGAACTCAAGGCATTCAGAACCACTGCTATTGTTCTGGTAATTCTAGGGGGGTTGTCTGGGAGAACAGGCTCTGTTCCCGGGGTTGGGGTGGGCCGGGGTCAGGGACAGGGAGTGGGCACTTGGCACATTTAGCCTATCAGTCTGAGCCCTGGCCAACCTTAGAATGCATGCTTTCTCATCAGCGTTAGGATCCAGTGGAGAATGCTCAAATACCACTCCTGGAGAGTCCAATTGGGCGAGCCCGGTAAGCTTTACTCTTTATAATGGTGCAGATTGCTTGAAAATGACCCCGATCTTTTGTTCAATGGAACCCTTCTCCTTTAGGCTGAAAGGAGCATGGACTTGGGTGAGTCCATTCTGTCCTACTACCTCAAGAAGGAGAAACATACGGGCGTTTTTAGAGCAGGTGATGGACAGCAATGGGACGGAGGAGGGCGGGGGCCGGGAGAGTGGATGGGGGGAGGAGCTGGAGTGGAAGATGATTGGGAGGTAGAGGCTGAAGGCTTTGGAGGCTGATGGGCCTCAGGAGTCGAGGCAGAAAGAGGCAGGTGGAGGGAGGAGGGGAAAGGAAGAGACTCAACAGCAGAGTTGAAGTTGGGAAGACTGGGTGGAGGCTGGGGCTGTTTGGGCAATGCTTCAGGGTTTGAGGCAGGTGGCTGGCAAGGGAGAATTTGTGAGGCAGGGCAGGATGAACAGAAGGGAGGTTTAGAATGAAGGTGAAAGAGGGCTTGGGTATAGGAGACCTGGAGCTCTCGGCCATTTCATTGGAGAAAACTGTTTAAATCAGTAAGAATATGAAAAATCAAAGGTTTCAAATTCTGGCCAATGGCAACCAGTGTCCAAGTGATCGTGAGGCCAGATTTTGATGGACAAAATATTAGACCACAGACAAGCCAATGGGGTGTCTCCAGGAACAGACAATTTGGAGTCCATTATGGAAAATTCTGTAGGATTATGGAGTGACCTGTGCCACCCTTTCAGGCATCTCTGAAGTTTTGGCAAGGCAACCGGATAGATTCCAATCATTAGGAAAACATACCCCCAAGGTCCTAATTAAAGGGGATCAGGAGGTCAGTCAAGCGTGAGAGAATCCTGAAATCTCTGGGGGCTCCATAGACAGGAAAGGGAGAGACTCCTGCATTCCCCCGGTCCATGCTGGGGCACCTCTGCTATGGACCATGGCTGGTTACCTTTTCCTGAAGGCTTCTAAATGATGGCCTCCTGACCAGGAGCCCAGGGGCAGAGGATGGGTAGAGAGATTAGGAGAGGGGACAACTCCAAGGTTTACACGGGAGCCCATAATAGCTCAAGACAGCCGGGGTACCACAAGGCAGGCAGCGCTTATGTAGACAAAGGCCCTGAGAACTCAGGGAGTTCCGGGTCAGTGTGGTCCAAAACAGTAAGCACAGAGGGCTCTGTGCTCCCAGTGGAGAAAGGCCTCAGAAAAAAAGGGGTGGGACAACCAAAGGCTTGTAGAGAAGAGGCAATGAGGGGAGGTGGGTGGACCCTCAGTGTAGGGGACCCAGTTATTCCTGGCTCTTTTCCTCTCCTGGGTTTCAGCAGCAAATGTTAGGAAAATGGAGAAAGGAAAAGGCCGGACTGGATTCTCAACAGATAAGGACTGTTTATGGAGAAACAGCCAAGGGCAGCAACCTTCCCACAGGATCAGAGGTTGTGGAAGGAGGTGGGGTTGAAGTTAACTTTTTATGGGGTCTGAGCAAGAAGACAGAAGTTAAAGAAAAAGTCATAGAAGACAGAAATTAGAGAAAAAGGAGGCTAGGAATGTGGCTTAGTGGTAGAGTGCTTGCCTAGCATGCACAAAGCCCTGGGTTCGATGCCTTAGTACCACATATACAGAAAAAGCCAGAAGTGGCCCTATGGCTCAAGTGGTAGAGTGCTAGCCTTGAGCAAAAGAAGCTCAGGAACAGTGGCCAGTGTCCAGGCTGGGAGTTCAAGACCCAGAACTGGCAAAAAAAAAAAAAGGGCATTATGTCTGGGGAGGTGGTGGGGCTTTTGGCTGGGCCCAGACTGGAATATTTACAGCCAGGCTTAGGTCAGATTGTTCTGCTGGTGTCAAGCATGTTTGTGTATATCTGGTATTTTGCCTGACGTCTGGATGCACCTAGGAAAATAGGGTGGGGGCCAATCCTTCATATTCTGTCTTTGGATACATAAAAAAAATTGGGCAAAGAGGGGAGCGATAAATCCTTCAGTGTTGAAAATTGACTGTACAACTTATGGGTTCTAGTGGGAGGGAAAACCTGGGAGAGAAGGAGGGAAGGTGTGGCATTGTCCAAAAATAAATGTACTTTTTACTTGACTTATGTAACTGTAAACCCTCTGTACATCACCTTTATAAAAGCCATAAAAATACATTTGTGTTTGAAGTAACTTTGACTTGTTTAAGGTCATAAGGCTTGAGCTTACGGCTTCTCTCCAGTGAGGGAGGAGAGATCTGCTGAGGCCTTGGGCACTGCCCAAGAGCTTTTCTGCTTAAGACCAGCTCTCAATATCTTTAATCGGTATGTAGCTCAACTGCTGGTTTGGGGGCAGAAATGCAGATAATTAGAGATAAGAGTCTTGGAGACATTCCTGCCCAGACTGGCTTTGAACCGGATTCTCAGAACTGAGCTTCCCGAGTAGGATTATACTAGGGCGCAGCTAGAAATTTCTTCCTAAATAAAATTAGATTGCTTTTTAATTTGGGGGGGTGGATCTGGGGCTTGAAGTCAGTGCCTAGGTACTGACCCCAAGCTTTTTTGCTCAAGGCCAGGGCTCTGCTATTTTCAACCACTGCACTTCTGGTTTGAGGAGATAGGCAGATAATTGTAGATACACATATACCAGACTTTCCTACCCTGGCTACCCTTGAATCATAATCCTCAGATCTCAGCCTCCGGAGTAGCTAGGAATGTGAGCCACCTGCTCCCATTAACTCCGCATGCTCTTGAAGTTGTTGTTTTTTTGTTTTTTTTTTTAATCTTTCCCTGTGGAAACCTAGCAATACTGAATTGCAACCAAACTCAAGTCAGATTTTTCTTATCAATGGAAGACTTTAAACTCCCAGTCTTGATGGCCTTTCTTGCTCAGTGCTGGTACTCTATTCTTTAAAACATACCAGGAATCACCCAGCTAGTATTAAAGGTATGACCTACAGGCTGATATTCTCTCTCTCTCTTGGTTCTTTCCATTCTTTTCTTTCCCTTTATCTTCCCTTCCTTCCCTCCCTGCCCTTCCCTCTCTCCCTCCCTTCCTCCCTCCCTTCCTTCTTTCCCCTCTACCAGTCCTGGGACTTGAACTCAAGAGATGTTTTCTTCAAGGTTAACACTCTGTCACTTGAGCCACATAGACACTTCCAGGCTTTTTGGGTACTTAGTTGGACATAAGTATCTCACACGCCAGGCACTACTTGCTCACTCCTATAAGTCTAGCTACTCAGAAGGCTGGGATCTGAGGATCGCGGTTCAAAGCCAGCCCGGGCAGGAATGTCCGTGAGACTCTTATCAATCCAGTTAAGCACCAGAAAACCAAAAGTGGTGCTGTGACTCAGGCGGTAGAGCACGAGCCTTGAGCTGAAGAGCTGAGGGACAGCGCCCAGGCCCAGAGTTCAGGCCCCACAACTGACCAAAAAAAAAAAAAAAGCCACAGATTTTTCTGCTTGAGGTTGAGTTACAATTTCAGTCCTCAGATCTGAGCCTCCTGAGTAGCTAGGATTACAGGCATGAACCAACGATACCCTGCTTACAATAACTTACTTATTTTCATACAGTAAAATGAACAGAGTAAGTGACTTCATCAGGATGCATTCATTTCCATACAACCATTCAGGAACCAGGAATTCCCTCTTGTTCCTCGCAGGCTGAATGCACGCCACTCAGATTCCTTTGATGAGAACACAGGACACGGGAGCCCATGGTGGCCAGAGCACCCCACATCACCTTCCTGACACTGAAACTGGAAAGGAGAGGAACTTGTCCTCTTCTATATTTTCCCCTGGAGAATGGCAGAGGGTTTGTGTTCCCACCTGGATGTACCAGTGTCCTAAAGATGACATTCATGTTCATTTCTAAGGGACCCAAGGAAATAGCATAAACTAGTGAACTTGACAAACCCCACAGTAGTTAGACTTCCTTGTAAAGGAATATTCTTCTGTGACTACCCAGTTGCCACTGGGTGCCAGGCTATAGAACTGGTTCTTCTTACAGCTAACACATGTGTAAGTGCAGATCTGGACCTTATGGGCTGGCTGTAAGTCCCTCAGGATCTGCACCAAGCTCACACAAACCTGGACAAAGTTCTCCTTGTTGACTTCACATCCATACAACAAACATTCGTGGTCATAGCTCTCCACAGGGGCCGGATACAGCCCTCGCTGCAACTGCCTCAGCTTGGCTGTGTGGCTCAGCAGGTTCTGCAGGGCAGCCAAGGACATGCGGTTCCCATAGATGCTGAAGAAGCTCAGCTGGGAGCACTGGCTCAGGGCGGGCAGGATGGCAGAGAGCTGGGCCTCAGTGATCCCACAGTGCTCTATGGCCAGGGCCTCCAGGGTGCCAGACACTCTCTCCAGCAGAGCTCGGAGGGGCCCAGGACTCCATTGACCCAAATATATGGTCCTGAGACGCAGGTGCTTGAGCTGACTGGTACAGGGACACAGGGACAGACACTTCAGGTCTGCTTCATTCAGTGGTCTTGAACTCAAAGACAGAGTGGTCAGAGGCTTGAGGGTCCTGAGGAGAGAGCAGAGAGACTGGGTGAATGGTGGTGGTGAGCAGCGCAGACTCGGGTAGGAGATGGTCAGCAAAGGTTGTCCTGCTGCACCGAGGGAGACCAACCACACGATGCTGCTGGCTGTCACTCCACCACCCCAGCCTGATGCCTGTCAGTGCCCCCTGAGCCTGGCCCAGGCCGCACCCTCTCCAGCCCCCTCTCCAGCCCCCTCTCCTCACTGTCTGGACACAGCACTAGTCTTCCTGCCCACAGGGCCCAACCACCCATGCATCTGAGCATCGCAGCACAGCATCTTTTCCTGTTCCGCTTGCTTCCAGTTTCTATCCTGTGAGCTCAGACTTGCTTCCTATAGAGGAACTGACAGCCACTCATCCCTACAAAGGACTCCACAACAGGCCTCCTGCCCTGAGCACACTCCCAGCATGCACCCTGCTTTCTGATGTGACTGAGAAGCCAGGTGAGAACTAAGAAGTGGAGCGGATGAGGCACCTCTTCCCATGTCTCCCCACTCACTTCACCAGCGAGGTTGCCACACACAGTTGAGGCCCTTTCATACCCACCCAACCCAAGGCCAGCTCTGCTCCCAGTGCTCACCTGAAGACCTTGTGCAGGTTTCCATAAAGGAAGTAGACTCGATACATATAAATTTGCTGGAGATTTCTCTGCTGCAGCAGTTGGATGAAGAAGGAAATTTTGAATCTGGAAGCAGAATATTTCATCCCAATCTGGGAGAAGGAAAGGATGTGAAGGTTCTTCTTAGATAAGGAACCATATTTTCCATTGCTGCTTCATCCCACAAACTATCCAAAACCAACTCCTGAATGGAGTCCAGATGAAGCACCGCAGAGTGCTTTGTATTTTAGAGGTGGAGGCAAACAGAACCTGCAGCTTCTTAGAGCACAGCTGAACCTGGTCTCTTCTCGTCTCCGCCCACTGGAGCACGTGGGCCAGCACACAATCCCAGGGGCCATCACTGATGGTGACATCCATGAATATCCTGAAGGAGGGCTCCTTCCTCAGGGCTGCACAGTGATTGGCTGCTGGCTTGTCAGTCAGGGCTGCTGCTGAGCAGGCTTGAGACATTGCTATGTACCCTGAGGTCCAGATGTTCAGGGACATATTCTGCAGATCTAACACCTGCAGTTTGCATCTACAGGGGAGACACAGGACAGTCTCAGAACAGACATGGCAGAACGCCACTTTCTGCTTCATCATTATTTGATCAAGCCAATCTAGCGTACTATGTTTCCCCCTGCTTTTTCCTAGTTTCTATCTTTCTGTCTTTTTTCTTTTTATTGTGCACTAGTAATGGGGCCTGAAGTCAAGGCCTGGATGCTGCCCCTTAGTTTTCCCACTCAAGGCTAGTTGTACTAGCACTTGAAACACACCTCCACTTCTGGATTTCTTTTTTAGTTAATTGGAGATATGAACCACAGTCATTCTCTTGCCCAAGATGGCTTTGAAGAGTCTCAGTCCTCTAAGTAGCTAGGATTATTGGAGTGCACCATTGACACCGTGAAACTTTTCCCAACCTTTCCCCACCCTATCACCACGGCCTGCGGTAGTGGGGATCCGGCAGCCATGCCTGCAGCCATCCCCAGCAACCCTCCACACCCAGGAGCCCTCTTCCACAAACAACTCAGCAGGGAGCCCTGGGGTCCTCTGGCCCCGGGTCTCTCATGAGTCCACCCCACTCTTGCTGACTCTAGTGTGCCTCATCCCTGCACTCCAGGGTCCTCCCTGGCCCCCAACCTGGGTCCCCCTTACCTGGGCCCCACTCCCTGCTCAAGCAGCACATCAAGGCCCTCCAGGGTGACCTGTAAGATCTCCAGGTCAGCTGAGCCCACCAGGGCCCCCACGGGGAGGCAGGCAAAGGGCCAGGCCTGCACCATGGCCTTCAGCACCTCCATGCGTCTCTTGGCAACCACCTCTCTGCACAGCGTGGAGAAGAGATCCAAGGGAAGGACGTCCAGAGCAGACATGGCCAAGGCCTGGTCCTCTAGCAGGCTCTGCATGGCCAGCTGCCGCAGTGTGGGCAGGGACATGGTGCTCAGTGTGCTGGAGCTGCAGGGAGAGGGCCTGGGAGCACACAGGAAGAGGCAGCTTTAGCGGTTGAAGCTGAGAAGTCCCTTCTCAGAGAGAACTCATCTCAAAGGCCACATCCCAACTCCAGCCATGGGGAGATGTCAGTTCACGCCCTTTCCACATAGCCCCGATGCCCCCCCCCAAGCACAGCGCTGGGACACAGGGCAGCAGGATGCTCCCCACATAGACAGCCCAAGCTCATCATGGTCCAGTTCCAGCCAGCACTCTGAGTATATGGATAATAAGGAGCCTGAACGTCATCCCAAGCTTTGTGTGAGTGTGTGTTTGTGTGTGTGTGTGTGTGTGTGTGTGTGTGTGTGTTCAAGGCCTGGACACTGCCCTTGAGCATTATTCTCAAGGCTTACCAGTGCCCTACCACTTCAGACACAGCTCTGCTTAATATCCATTTATTTTGAGGGGGGTGTTTTTATTTCTTTTTTATTTTTTTATTTCTGTCGGTCACAGGGCTTGAACTCTGGGCCTGGGCACTGTCCCTCAGCTCTTCAGCTGAAGGCTAGCACTCTACCACTTGAGCCCCAGTGCCACTTCCAGTTTTCTGTTGTTTAATTGGAGAGACGAGTCTCCCAGACTTTCCTGTCTGGGCTGTCTTTGAACCACAATCCTCAGATCTCAGCCTCCAAACTAGGATTACAGGAAGAACCATTTACTTTTGAGATAGGATATTAAAAACACTTCTGCCCAGAGTAGCCTCTAGTTGTGATTCTTCCAGTCTCGGCTTCTCAAGTAGCTAGGATTACCAACATGAGCCACTGGTACCTGGCTTTGAACTAAATATGTAGCGTTTCAAAAACTTTGTCTTGAACTAGTTAGTGGTTCACACCTGTTCCCAGTTACTCTGGAGTAGAGATTGAGAGGACTGAAGTCCTGTCCAATCAGTTCCCCACCGACCAGCAGGGGTAGTGCTTCTTCGCCTAATCCCACATTAGCAGAGTTGGGTGACTGAATCTGGTATCCACACAAAATATTGAGACCCTACTTACAGCCAGAAGAGAAGCTGTAGCTTAAAGAGTAGAGTGCTAGATAGACTTGAATGAAAAATTAAGAGCCAGGAATTGGTGGATCTTAGTGGCCTGTAATCCTAGCTACTCAGGAGGCTGAGATCTCAAGATCTCAGCTCCATGCCAGCACAAGTAGAAAGTCCATAAGAATCTTACTTCCAGTTAACCAACAGAAAACCCTAAGTGGAGCTGTGGCTCAAGTGGTAGAGTACTAGCCTTGAGCAAAAGGTCAGGGACTGCTTATAAACGCTGAGTTTAAGCCTCACAACTGAAATAAAAGAAAAAGAAAGCCTGGAGCTTGTGGCTCACACCTATAATCTTATAATCTTAGCTACTTAGGAGGCTGAGATCTGAGTATCACAGTTCAAAGCCAGACCAGGCAGGAAAGTCCATGAGACTCTTATTTCCAATAAGCCACTCAGAAAACCAGAAGTGGCGTGGTGGCTCAAGTGGTAGAGCGCTAGCCTTGAGCTGAAGAGCTGAGGAGCTGAGGGACAGTGCTCAGGCCCAAGATCAAGCCCCATGACTGACAAAAGAGAGGGGTGGGGGGACAGAGACAGACAGAGACAGAGGGAAAATTAGGAAACAGTGCCCTATCTGGAGTTCAAGCCTCAGTACAAAAATAATGAAATAAAAGAATTACTTAAAAAAAATTTCAAGCCAGGTCCTGGTGGCTCACACTTGTGATCCTATCTACTCCAGAGTCTAGCATCTGGGCTGGGAAGGTGGCTCAGTGGTAGAGTGCCTGCCTTGCATGCATGAGGCCCTGGGTTTGATTCCTCAGCACCACATGAGGAAAAAAGTAGTGGTGCTGTGGCTCAAGTGGTAGAGCACTAGCCTTGAGCTGAAGAGCTGAGGGACAGCGCCCAGGCCCAGAGTTCAGGCCCCACGACCGACAAAACAAGCAAACAAACAGAGTCTAGTATCTGAGGATTAGAGTTCAAAGCCAGCTTGGGCAGAAAAGTCAGAGATTCTTATCAGCAATAAACCACCAAGAAGCTGGACCTGGAGCTGTGGATCAAGTGTGAGAACATCTACGCTGAGCACGAAAAACTTGGGAACTGCATCAGAGCTATAAGTTCCAGACCTAGAACTGGCATGTGCGCACGCATATGCACACACGCACCCACACACAAATAGAAGGAAAAGAAAAAAAGAAGGGCTGGGAATGTGGCTTAGTGGTAGAGTGCTCACCCAGCATTCATGAAGCCCTGGGTTCAGTTCCTCAGTACCACATACAGAGAAAAACCCAAAAGTGACACCATGACTCAAGTGGTAGAGCACCAGCCTTAAGCAAAAGAACCTTAGGAATAGTGCCTGGGCTCTTGAGTTCAAGCCCCAGTACTGGCAAAAAAAAAAGAAATAAACATAAAATGCTAACAACAAACATCCACTTCAATTCAAATAAATGACTTTGTTTGCAAAACAACATTTTTTAAATAAATTTAAAATGAGAGTAATCAATGCACAACAAACCGAGTTATTTCGGCTGAAGGTAAAGGAACATTTGGCATAAAAACTAATGTCTGAAATTTGTTTATCAATAGAGGACAAATTCCTGCTAGGTGCCAGTGGCTCCTCTATAATTCTAGCTGAGATAGAGCTGAGGATCATGGTACAAAGTCAACCCAGATAGTAAAGTCTGTAAGACTCATCTCCAATCACTAAAAATATCCAGAAGTGGAGCTGTGGCTTAACAGTAGAGCACCAGTATTGAACAAAACAAAGCTCAGAGACAACGCACAGACTGAGTTGAAACCCAAGGCCTGGCACAAATACAGAAGCCCAAATCACAATTCTGTCACCTCTGGGACTGGCTGAGGGGAATGCTGGTTGGGACATCATGGAGGTGGGGACTTCACAGAAGTGGACCAGGCCCACAGGGCTCTGTGAAGGCAGCAGGCTCAGTAACTCCACTTACCAGGGTTCTTAACTCCCCTGGCTCCTCAGAAGCTTTATTCCCCCTGTCTACTGGTCCTACCCTTGGCCAACTCCCAGTGTCCAATCAGAAAGCAGCATCTGCTCAGTCCTGAAGCTCCACCCACTTGATCCTGATGGGATTTCTGCCTTGTCCAGAGGGTCCTGGAGGAAAGGGGGAGGGTAGGGAGAAGGAAAGTTTAACACCCAGTCCTGACTTGTGTGCACTGCAATGCTTGTGCTTCCCTCACTCCTCTGTGTCCTTCACGTCCAAGTGTGTGAGACAGACAGGCTTGCTCTGCTCTCCACCACAGGCGGTAGATGTTTTGCCTCTAGGAGGCCCATAGTCACTGACAAAGATAATCTGGCTGTGTGTGTGTGTGTGTGTGTGTGTGTGTGTGTGTGTGTGTGTGTGTGTTTAGGGCAGTACTGGGGCTTGAATTCTTTCTTCACTCTTTCAGATCAAGGCTAGTACTAGCTCTACCCAGACTGGAGCCACTGCCCCACTTCCAGCTGTTTCTGTGATTTAATTGGACATAAAAGTCTCCAGTACTTTTAGTACTTTTCTCAGCTGGCTTCTTGGGCACGGGGGGGGGGGGGGCATTTTTTATTTTAACATCTAAAAAAAAGAACTTGGAGCTGGGCACTGGTGGCTCACGCCTGTTGTCCTAGCTACTCAGGAGGCTGATACCTGAGGATCATGGTTCAAAGCCCTCCCAGGCAGGAAAGTCTGTGAGACTGTACTCTCCAATTAACCACTAAAAAGTCTGAAGTGGAGCTATGTGGCTCAAGTGGTAGAGTAGTAGTCTTGAGAACAAAAACAATAAAAACAAAGGGACAGGGCCCAGGTCTTGAGTTTAAGCCCCAGGATAGGCACCAAACCAAAGAAATACAAGAAAGAAAAACAGCAGTCTGTAAATTACCACACGTAACAGTGATGCCCAGAAATTCCATGCAGGGTAAAGAGCATCCAGCAGGGGGCACACAAACCCTATCTCTTGGAGTTTTAGGATGGCAGGGGGTATAGTACTTTGAAAATGGGACTCAAGGACTCCTATTTGGGGGGGGGGGGGGGTCTGGAGCTTGAACTCAGGGCCTGAGCCAGCCTGGGCAGGAAACTCCCTGCCATTCTTATCTCCAATTAACTACCAGAAAACCAGAAGTGGTACTGTGGCTCAAGTGGTAGAGTGCTTGGCTTGAACTGAAGAGCTGAGGGACAGCCCCCAGGCCTAGGGTTCAAGTCCCACAACTGACAATAAATAAACTAACAAACAAATAAACAAAGGTTATGGAGAAACTGTGGAAACCCTAGAGCAGCATCCCAGAGAACTGGGAAGGGAGAGGTGAAGACTCTGAGGATCGGTTCTCACACATGCTGTGTACCCAGGAGAAATGAGTTTGCGGGGGACATTAAGGGAACAAACATCAGAACAAGGCTCCTGTATTTATGTTATTTGTGTGGGGGACGTTTATAAACTTTCCCTAAGCCGGACACTGGTGGCTCACGCCTGTCATCCTAGCTACTCAGGAGGCTGAGATCTGAGGATTGCGGTTCAAAGCCAGCCCAGGCAGAAGTCCATGAAACTCTTATCTCCTATAAACCATCAGAAAACCAGAAGTGGAGCTGTGGCTCAAGTGGTAGAGTGCTAGCCTTGAGCTGAAGAGCTGAGGGACAGCGCCCAGGCCCAGAGTTCAAGCCTCCCCCCGCAAAATATATACTTTCCCTAAAAAGTAAAAACACAGGGCTGGGAAGGTGGCTCCGTGGTAGAGCGCTTACCTTACATGTTTGAGGCCCTGGGTTCGATTCTTCAGCACCACATAAGCAGAAAAAAAAAAAAAAGCCAGAAGTGGAGCTGTGGCTCAAGTGGTAGAGCGCTCGCCTTGAGCTGAAGAGCTGAGGGACAGCGCCCAGGCCCAGAGTTCAGGCCCCACAACCAGACCCAAAAAAAATTTTTTAAAAAAGTGGAAACACAAATCGGGTTTGCCTCCCATGGACCTCCGCCCTTGCCACCCAGCTGCCACCCGTGCCCAAAGTGAGAAAGCAATGGGACCCCCCAATCTTGGTCTGGCTCCCCCTGTCTCCTGAGCTGTGTCTCCCTTCCCTCCACGCCAGTTTCCTGACTCAGGTGTTTCATTTAGACTCCCAGAAAACAGACAACCCATAACAGTAGCGGGGTGTCTTTTAACCCAGTACTGCACAGGAAGAGGGTGGTAAAGGAAAAGACAAATCTCAGCGTCATATAAATCGGTCCCTTTGCTTTCCTTAGAGTCATAGAACTTTCCAGACATTTGACAGTGAACAGCAGGCTTTTTAGCCCCCAAGAAAGACTTATCCTGGAGCTTCCCTTCCTTTCTGACCATCCACAAAGGGTTCCACCCACTGCTTGTCTCCAACTTGAAACTACTTCTACAATTCCTATTTACACGGTTTTTGGTTTTGTTTTGTTTTCTTTTTTGCCAGTCCTGGGGCTTGACCTCAGAGCCTGAACACTGTCTCTGAGCTTCTTTTGCTCAAGGCTAACACTCTACCACTGGAACTACAGCACTGCTTCTGGCTTTTTCTGTGTATATGGTACTCAGGAATGGAACCCAGGGCTTCATGCATGCTAGGCAAGCACTCTGCCACTAACCCACCTTTCTAACTGCATCCCGTACTTGTCCCAAGTTTCCTTGTACCCAATCTTTAACCCTCTAGTCTCCACCAGTTCATCCCTGGGCCCTTTCCAAATCTCACTGAGTACTATTCAGAAACTACAAGTATCTGGTCCCTTTGACCTTTCCTTTCCGGTAACCAGGAGAGACCGCCGGTGACACTTGCACCTAAAGACACTCATGCAAGAGCGGTATAGATCGTAGTCCATTCTGAAAGTAACAGAACCTGCCTCACTCAAAGCAGTGGGTGATGCCAAAGAAGACCTTCCGGGGCTGCCTTATGGCCTGCAGCATCTTCTTGAGCTCAGAACAGTACTGGAAGCGCCTGTCCTGGCAGAGCATGTCAGGCCATTTGTAGGGCTTCTCAAGGCACTGGATCCATCTCGTGGCACAGCTCACTCATACTGGCCGTGTGGCCACGGAGATGCGGCTGTCACAGAAACACACTGTGGTGAGCCTGGAGCAGCGGCTTAGGCCAGGCAGCATGGCAGTGAAGTGGACATTGGTCATCCCGCAGTCCTGCCACTGGAGGATCTCCAAGGTGGCTGCAATTCCTTGAGTAAGAACATGCCCTCGGGGTCCACGTGGGGGAGGCTGGAACTTCCCAGCTGCAGGTGTTTTAGCTGGCTCATGGTCAAGTTCCAGAACAGGCCACTAAAGTCTGAGTCTGTAGATCTAAAGAACATTACACACAGGATCTACAAGGGTATTCAGGCACCTAAGGAGACACCAAGCCATCGGTTCTGGTTAGTGAATTGTGGGCTGGACAAGGACGCAGGAAGGACTTCAAGATACAGGAGACAATTATGTCTGCAAACAACCTGAGTGGATCTGACTATCGAAATACATTTCCTATCAAGGATGTTGAACATTAAAAGTTGTGTTCAGGCTAGGTCCGTTACTCAAATGTAGAGGACCTGCCTAGACAGAGCAGGAGGCCCTGAGTTAAACCCCAAAACTACCCAGAAAAAAAATAAACCACAGCAGCAGCAACATAAAAGTAAATAAATAAAAAAGAGCTGCATGTCTTTGGCAAGTGCCTATAATCCTACCTAGTCAGGAGCCTGAGATTTGAGGGTGCTCAGTTTGAAGAGAGTCCAAGCAGAAAAGCCCGTGAAACTCTTGTCTTCCATTAATCAGCAAAAAGCCAGAGGTGGAGTTGTGGCTCGAGTCATAGACCATCAGCCTTGAGCATAAAAATCGAGAGGGCACCAGACCCTGAGTTCAAGCCCCACTACCAGCCTATTAGGAAAAAAAATGTATTCTTTACAATTAGATCAATCACTCCCCTCTTCATATTCAACAAAGTCTCTCTCTGTCTGGGCCCTTCACTCCTGCTCCTCACCCTAAACTCAGGGTCATACCCTTCTTTCTTGCCACCATTCTGCCCCAGGGCTCCAAACACTCTGTGCCAGGAGCCTTCCAGCTCATAGGGAGCTGGGCAAGTATAGGGGGCTATCTTCCTTCAGTGCCTTCTTCCTATTTCTTTTTCTTAATTTTTATTTTTGCCAGCCTGGGCCTTGAACTCAAGGCCTACACACTGTCCCTGAGTTTCTTTTTTTTTTTGCTCAAAGCTAGCACTCTACTACTTGAGCCACAGCAACACTTTCTGGCTCTTTCTGTGTATCTGGTACAGAGGAATTGAACCCAGGGCTTCATGCATGCTAAGCAAGCACTCTACCACTAAACCACATTCCCAGCCCTCTTCTTCCTATTTCTATCATCTGATCTCAGCCATGCTTCCAACGTAGGAACTTACAGTCCCTCCACCGTTAGAATTGACCCTTATTCCTGGCTTTCTGGCATGGTGGTAATTTTCAGGCATCTCTCTTTGGCTGGTCCTCTGACTCTGAGAGACTACAGAAAGCTACACAACAGTCTAGACAATCCTTGGACATCCAACAGGTACATTCCTGTGACATCACCTTGGATGGCAAACTGCCATGTCTCTCCCCATGACTCAGCCAGGAAAGGCTGGGCTGGGTTGAGATCCATCCATCCTGCATCCATCCATCCATCAATCCTTACCTGAGCAGCTGGTGCAGATGGCCCTGGAGGTAAGAGGTCTTACAAATAAGAAGCATGCAAAGGCACTGCAGCTTGTTCAGTTCTGAGGTGAATGCATTCAGATGCAACTCTTGTTCCTCTGGAGAACCAGGTCGAGGCTGAACTGACAGTGCCTGCAGATATGGCATCTGGCCTATGAAAGGAGCAGTGTTGGCCAGAGTAGAGAGGTTCAAGACACAATTCACTTCCAACTCTTCCGTATACAGCAGCTCCACTGCACCAGGATGTGGGTGTAAGACCAAATATCTCCATCACTATTGAAGTTCAGTCCCCAAATCCATATCTTCCTACAGTATAGCTGTAGCAAACCTGCCCTCTTCTGGCCCACTCAAGCAAGTACTTCCAAACTATTTGTACTGCACAGATCTAGGTAAATGCCTGTCACCAGCATCACGGGCTGCGTTTCCCGGTATCTCCACCAGGCCTCACCATAGGGCATCTCTTCCACTGGGGCTGGGTTGTGCAATCACTGGCCTTGAGCCCACGCCATTGCACGCAGAAGTTGTGGCTTGCACTCCCCAAGTTCAGCATTTGCAGCCTCCACTTCCTGTGGGTAAAGCAAATGAGACCTAACGCCCAGCACTTCTCATATAAACACTAGGTATATCAGCACTCCTCTGCCTTTCCTTCCTAATTTTCCCTTCCCTGTCCCTTTCCTTTCCTTTTTCCCTCCTTCCTTCCATCCTTTTTTTGTGCCAGTATGGGGTCTTGAATTCAGGGCCTGACACTGTCCCTTAGCTTTTTGCATCAAGGCTGCTACTCTAAAAGCTCGAGTGACTTCTGGCTATTTGCTGGTTAATTGGAGAAAAGAGTCTCAGGAACTTCCCCTAGGCTGGCTCTCTGAACTGCTTTTCTCCAGTCTCAGCCTGTTAAGTAGCTGAGATTGCAGGTGTTTGTGTGAGTGTGTGTGTGTATGTGTGTGTATATGTGTACTAGGGCTTGAACTCAGGCCTGGCTGTTGTCCCTTAGCTTTTCTGCTCAAGGCTCTTGCTTTACCCTCTTGAGCCACAGCTCCACTTTCCATCTATTTTTTTTTTTTAAGTTTTCCTTCCTTTCTTTCTCCCTCCCTCCCTTCTCAATGTCCAGCTCAAGAACCTGGGAGCTGCCTGGCACTGGTGGCTCGCGCCTGTAATCCTAGCTACTCAGGAAGCTGAGATCTGAGGATGGCAGTTCAAAGCCAGCCCCGGCAGGAACGTCCGTGAGACTCTTTTTCCAATAAACCACCAGAAAACCGGAAGTGGTGCTGTGGCTCAAGTGGTAGAGCACTTGCCTTGAGCTGAAGAGCTGAGGGACAGTGCCCAGGCCCACGGTTCAAATCCCATGACCGACAACAACAACAACAACAACAACAAAAAGCAGAGCTCATTTTTGCTGGGGCGCATGTTATGAAGTGCACAGCACGAACAGCATTTTTTTAGATTCCTCAGCACCCTTCCCTTGGACACAGCCTGGTCCTCACTGGCAGAGCTTGGGGAAGGCAGCGGATGCACCTGCTTCCTTCAGCAGCTCCTTCAGCCATGCCTGCATCCACCACTGTGCTCTGCTCACAAGCTCCTTCCCAGACAGAGCCCAGCAAAGGCCCAGACAGAGCCAGCAAAGGCCCAGACAGAGCCAGCAAAGGCCAGGCCCCTCTAATCTGCCCAGTGCCATCTCTCCACTCTCCTGGTTCTCAACTCAGTCTTCCCTAAGCTCCACAGCTCTCACTTCCAGCTCTCTGGCTGGACCCCACTCACCTGGACCAATCCTTCTGAACAAGCAGCATGTCGAGCCCATCCAGGCCGATTTCCAGGGTATCAAACTCCAAATCTTCACTCAGCGCCCCCCGGGGGAGGCAGGGGAAGGGCCAGGCCTGCACCATGGCCTTCAGGAGCTTGGAGTGTTTCTTTTTGAAGGCCTCAAAGAACAACAGAGGGAAGACGTGGCAGGGCAGGTCCTCCAGGGCAGAGATGGCCAAAGCCTGGTTCTCCAGCAGTTTCTGAGCCGCCAGCTGTACCAGTGTGGGCGGGGCCTGATCACCCATCCTGATGAACCTGCAGGGAAAGGTTCCTGGAACAGCATCCAGGAAGAGACTTCCTTAAAGGCAAAGCGGAAAGGGAGAATCCAGCGACCGTACTGAGGTCCCAGTCATTGCTCTGGTCATGGTAGACAAGATGTCAGTTTGCCCCATTTCCAGTCAGAGCCCGATGGCCTCCACGCCACAGCTGTGACACAGCAGGCATCAGGAGAGACAACTCATTGCCAAGTGGGTCATCCTCCATTTCCACCCCTCTGCTCCCCTCAGGTCTGGACCTTCAGGAACAGAAACGATGAGCCAGAAATGGCATGTACAGCCATAGGCTCATTCCTGTAATCCTAGCTGCTCAGGAAGCTGAGATTCAAGAATCACAATTTGAAGCTAGCACAGACAAGAAAGTCTGTGAGACTCTCATCTCTAAGAGTTCAAGTCCTAATACCAACACATACACACAGATCAAAAAGCTCTACTTTTAGAGTGTTACACAGGACTGGAGATATAGCTCAATGTAGAGTATCTGCCTAGCAAATGCAGATAGAAAAATAAAAAATAAAATTCTACTATCAATAAAATTGAGCCAGACACTGGTACCTCATGCCCATAATCCTAGCTACTCAGGAGGCTGAAATCTAGGGATCATGATTCAAAGCTAGCCTGGACAGGAAAGTCTTTGAGAATCTTATTTCCACTTAACCACCAGAAAACCGGAAGCAGTGCTATGCCTCAAAGTGATAGAATGCTAGCCTTGAGCAAAAAGAGCTCAGGGACCATCCCAGACCCCAAATTTAAGCCCTATGACCAACAAAAAACAAATGAATAAAACTAAATAAATATAAAGTCCAATTCAGCCAGTCATGAATAGCTAGTACCTATAATCCTACCTACTTAGGAGCCTGAGATCTGGAGGATCACTTTGAAAACCAAACCCAGGCAAGAATAGTCTGAGCTGGCCTAGAGGGCTCCTGGCTCAAGTACTCCAGTGCCAACAGGGAGCTAGCAGGTCTGGAGAGCTGTGGTCCTGAGCTCAAGCCAGTTACTGGCAAAAACAAATTATTGGGTCTGGGAAGGTGGCTCAGTGGTAGAGTGCTTGCCTTGCATGCATGAGGCCCTACATACGCAGAAAAAACCAGAAGTGACACCATGGCTAAAGTGGTAGAGCGCTAGCCTTGAGCTGAAGAGCTGAGGGACAGTGCCCAGGCCCAGAGTTCAGGACCATGACCGACAGAACATCTATTTCTTTATAAACAACAAGAACTATTTTAGTAGTTTAAAATGACAGGAACAATTGCACAAAGTATTTGGCATGAGGGCAAAGCTGCGTTCAGAGCCAATAGCAGCTCTACAATCTATTCATCTAAAGGGGAAGAAGTCATAACATTGAGTCTCTGTGGCATCTCGGTCCTAATGGTACCATAGGGCCTGGCTGAAGGAAAACCTAGGGTACAGGGGAAGACTTACTGATGTGGGCCAGATGTGCAGGGCTCCAAACCCCAGGGCAGCCAGTAGTAACTTCAGACTTCTGGCTTTTACTTCTGTCCTTTGGTGCCTTTGGAGTTGTAGGGAGGAAAAAAACCCAAAGTAAGGTTTATTAACACAGGAATTCACTTTCTGTGACAGAAGGCAAGCCATCTAGAGGAAGAGAAAGACTCACGAGCAAACTTTCTACATTGAGGGACTTAGAGCCCCAGGACCAGCCTAGAAGCAAACTCTCATCATCTGCAGGATGGAGGAAGTTGTGTTGAATTAAACTTGACCTCTAGGCTAATGTTTTAAAGAGCTATTGTTTCCTTACTCTCTGTTGACCTCCCCTCCCCCCCCCCCCAACCCCCAAACTATCTTTATACGATGACTAGTAGAATTCTGGTAGAACCTAACTCATGAGCTTCCTTGACCTTGGTGGCCTCTTAAGCTGGTGGGAAAGTTTCATTGCCAAGCAGTGTCTCAGAGACCTTCTAGTCTCAGCCTCCATTTCAGTTTTCCTTCACATTTTCCTGTGGCTCACTACCTACCATTTTCTTCTCAAGGGCTCAAGACCCACAGATCTTTCAGGGTCTCTTCCATTCTTTTTTTTTTTGTCCATTGTGAGGCTTGAACTCTGGGCCCGGGCTCTGTCCCTCAGCTCTTCAGCTCAAGGCTAGTGCTCTACCACATGAGCCACAGAGCCACTTCTGGTTTTCTGATGGTTTATTGGAAATAAGAGTCTAACGGACTTTCCTGCCTGGGCTGGCTTTGAACTGTGATCCTCAGATCTCAGCCTCCTGAGTAACTAGAATTACAGGCGTGAGCCACCAGTGCCTGGCTTGACTCTTCTATTCTTCCATAGCACTCTCCACTCTCACTCAAAGCTGGAATGCTACCACTTGAGCCATACTTTCACTTAGAGCTTTTCAGTGGTTCATTGGAATCCCATGGACTTTTCTATCTAGGCTGACTTTGAGCTTTGATCCTGGAATCTCAACCTCTTGAGTAGCTAGGATTATAGGAATGAGCTACAGTGCTCAGCTTTATTGACATTTCTACTTATCCCTCCCCTTTCAACTCCAGGTGTGATCTAGGATGGTTTGACACTGAGAATATCAACCTGCTATACTCTAAGCTCCAATTAACTGCCAAAAAAGCTGGAAGTGGGGGTGTGGCCCTAGTGGTAGAACACTAGCCTTGAGAAAAAAAAAATCTCAAGGACAATGAGTTCAATTTCCCTGAGTTCAAGCCCTAAAACCAGCACCTAAATAAATAAATAAATAAAAATAAAAATTAGTCTATGTAGCTAAATTGTAAATGTTATACAAAAGTTTAGTGTTAAAGTTATTTAGGTTTATTGCTATAAAATGACCCAACTACTCTCTTTTGTACTATATATATGTAAATTACAGCTGGTCTACATGTATTTGACTTGACTAAATTTTTGTTGTTTTTTTGTTGTTGTTGGTTGTGGTCTTTAATTCTGTGCCTGGGTGCTGTCCCTGAGCTCTTCAGCTCAAGGCTAGCACTCTACCACTTGAGCCACAGCACTACCTCCAGCTTTTTCTGCATATGTGGTGCTGAGGAATTGAACCCAGGGCTTCATGCATACAAGGCAAGCACTCTACCACTGAGCCACCTTCCCAGCCCCTTGACTAAATTTTTGTATAGATGAAATGCCTTCATGCAATAAATAAATCTACTTAGGGTAGATAACCGTATACTTACAAAAGTCCTAAGGCTTTGATTTTTTTCAGTTTATGGACCTGTAATCTTACTGAGCCCCGCACTCTAAATTTGGTTTAAAAATAGAACTTAAATCAATAGGCAAAAGACATCTGTGTAGCCACCATGCTGATTGACACTGACTCCTTTGTGTGTTAAGTATATTTATATTATCCAAGTATATATATCTTCTAAAATGCAAAACTTCTGTAGTGGTGGCTTCCTGCCTGTAATCCTAGCTAATCAGGATGCTGAGATCTGAGAATCACAGTTCAGAGTCAGCCCAAGCAGGAAAGTCTGTGAGACAGTTTTCTCCAATTAACCAGCAAAAAGGCAGAAGTGGAGCTGAGGCTCAAACCCTAGAGTGCTATCCTCGAGCCAAAGAACCTCAGGGCTAGTGCCCAGGCCCTGAGTGCAAATTCCAGGAGTAGCACACACACACACACACACACACACACACACACACACACACACACACACGGAAAGCAAAGACCTTGATAAACCTGGAGCAGATCCACACAGGGGACAGGAGCCCCCTCTTCTGGGAGTGAGGTTGGCAGAGGTTTAACCAGATGCCACAACATCGGGACTTGCAGAAAGAGGCTTACAATGGGGCTTTACCAATTTCTAGGCCTCATTTCTTGTTTTCCTACATGGAGAAGTCTATCTACCTCCTCCTCCTCCTTTTCCCCCTCTCCCCCTTCCCCCTCCTTCCCCCACTTCTCCTTCTGTCCCTCCTCCTTCTCCCCTCTTCCTCCTTCTCCTTCTCACTCTCCTTGTTCCTCCTAGAACAAATGATCAAGGTCTCATAGGGCATAAGGCAACTTTCCCATTCAGGAACAAGGCTTTAAGGTGGAAAAAAAGTCAGCCAGGCTAGCCAATCATCCTCTGTACCTAGGGGAGGGTCTTGACTGTTTCAAACAAACCAGTTGCCATCTAACAAATGGCTTAAGGGAAGGAGGAAAAAGGGAAGGGCAATACAAAATAGCAGTCTCTGGCCACCCAGTGCTCCCAGTCACCCTGCTTATTCCTCTGACAGGCCTTTACTGTGGTTTTTTGTTTTTCTTTTTTCTGGTCCTGAGACTTGAACTCTAGACCTGGGCACTCTCCCTGAGCTCTTTTTTGCTCAAGGCTAGCACTCTACCATTTGAGCCACAGCACCACTTCTGGTTTTCTGGAGGTAAATTGGAGATGATAAGAGTCTCACAAACTTTCCTGCCCAGGCTGGCTTTGAACCACGATCCATAGATCTCAATCTCCTGAGTAACTAGGATTACAGGCATGAGCCACAGGCACCTAGCTACACAGGGACTTTTCTGCCTGGGCAGGCTTCGCCCCACAAACCTCAGATCTCAGCCTCCTGAGTTGCTAGGATTTCAAGTGTGCTGGGCTGGGAAGGTGGCTCAGAGGTAGAGCGCTTGCCTTGCATGCATGAGGCCCTGGGTTCCATTCCTCAGCACCACATAAGCAAAAAGAAAAAAGCCAGAAGTGGTGCTGTGGCTCAACTGACAAAAGAAAGAACGAAAGGAAGGAAGGACAGAAAGAAAGAAAGAAGGAAGGAAGGAAGGAAGGAAAGAAAGAAAGAAAGAAAGAAAGAAAGAAAGAAAGAAAGAAAGAAAGAAAGAAAGAAAGAAAGAAAGAAAGAAAGAAAGAAAGAAAGCCATGAAACTCTTATCTCCAATTATCAAGCAAAAATCTGGAAGTGGAAGTGGGGCTCAACTGGTAAAGCACCAGTATTGACCAGAAAAAGCTAAGCAAAGTGATATGGTGGAGGAAGTAAAGATGGATTGGATGTGTAAAGATGACTTGGATTGGGCTGG